TGAGAAATATAGGTTAGTCTGAATTTTTGTTTGCTCATATATGTCAGTTCATATAAAAGAAAACCTAATATACATTCCAACTTGTGTTTATCCATTGGTTTTAGATGTCCTGTGGGGACTTCAGGTCCTTTTCTTGTGTCCAGAAACATAAGCCTACCAAATTGAAATGAATGATAAATTGTAATAAATACTATAATTTAGTATTTATTATAGTAGGGGCAGCTATCATCATGCTGTTAATGTCACCCAAGGAAATGTTAGTGTCTCATAACTATGCCACAGTGGAACATGGCATGCCGAATCCCAAATCAATTAAGCAAGCCATCTAATAACTATTGTTGTCATTTGCCTGTGGGCTTTTTATTCTATTTTTTTCCCAACTGTCAGAATTCTATATGAATTATTTGGTTACTTGGATGCACATTTTTTATTCCAATGCACAATGGGCTAGAATTTCCCCAAGTCCCCTTTCTTGGAATCTTTTGTTTGTATTACCTTCTTGTCCTCGTCTCTTATTGAAATATTTATTGAAATATGCATTGTTTTAAGGCTAGGGAGTTCTTTTTTCCTCAGTGGATTAGAACTGGGCCTGTAGATGAAAGCCATGAGGTTGGTGTAAAACAATTGTCTCCCTGAAATTTAATTACTTAATACATTTTCAGCTCTATTTTACCTGCTTTGCGGTAGTTTTAAATAATATTATTCAACTTGAGTATCTAACACATAAGCACCCTCTTTGATCAGATTATTATATTTTTGAGAGTGGAAATATTTGCCAAATAGTAAGTTGCTAGTAAGTATATTCCTAACATTTTGACCCACAGGAAAGATTGGATTGAATTCTAGGTAAAACAGAGCAATTTTAAGTTGAAATAACATTGCTGCCAGAAAATTTGATTTGAAGTACAAATACCACTTCTGATGTCTATGACCCCTTAAATGAAAAGGCAATTTCACTTGATATGGGAACAGTAGATATAAAAAATCCAAATTCCCTAAATTAAAAGAGTCATATTGTAACATCTTTATGCTTATTGCTAGCAGATAAGAATACTGATCTTTTAAAGATGCCTTAATTTTATGTGTTAGAAAACAGTGTAAGGATAGTTCTCCCAGATGCCCCCTTTTTATACTTACTCTTAAATTAAGGCACATTTACTGGTACTTAGGTCTTCCATTCAAGGAATCTCCCATGAGATCTAACCACAAGTATTGGTTACCTTAATATGTTTTTATTTAGTTTTTGTAGAAGCTGCACTATTACAATTCAAATGAAAAGTGCTTTACACTTAGATTATCAAGTCTGTGTAGACAAACCTAAAAACTACTTAGCCAGTATTTATTGGTGTTCTCTGCCTTTCTATGTTCTGCAAAAGGTCTGTGAAGGCTATAAGGAAAAGGCCTTAAAGAGGTGATACGTAGTGAAATTAAGAAAGTTGTGTACTTCGGATTTATTCATGAGTTTTTTCACTTATGTTCATGTTCAGCAACAATTTCAAGAGAGGTAAACCCACAGCAAAGCCCTGAGCCTTTGGTGCCTGATTATTCTGAAACAAAGATTTTAGTCACTTAGGGCCTGAGTAGTATAAATAAATTTATAAGATCACATTAATGTAATTATCACAAAAGCAAGTTTTACTTTTTTTTCATATAGTCAAGATTCTTTGAAGGAGTGGATTTTGTTGAGTCTCTCTCCATAGGCTACCAAAGAAATCTGATAACTCCAGAGTAAAATTTCCTAAGAAATTATAAAAGTAATTAAGGACTAAAAATGCAGAATATTTAAAAGCCACCAAATCTGAGCAGCTGGGAAAGCTAACACCAAGTCTCATAAAGTATCACATGTGCTGGGGTTAGATTTGTCAGAATTACTTACTGAGATTGAGCGGAGGAAGGAAGTATGCATGGGAAAATGGCAACCGTGATAAGTACAATGTGTATATTATAGAAAGAAGGGGAAAATTGGTATGCTTTATAAAATATTTATTCAGTGATGATCATGTTTCAGGCAAATGGAAGATAATGACACAAAGACTGAAGACAAATGGTTTTTGACATCAAGGAATTCAGAGTTTATACAGGCAAATTTCATTAACAAGTATTATGATAAAAGGATACACAGAGAGCTGTTCAAGCTCAGAGCAATAGGATTTGACTCTGCCTGAAGGGAGGTTATCAGAGAATGCTTCCTGGAAGAAATGACACATGAATTTACTCTTGACATATGAGTAGAAGATAGTCAAGTGAAGAAGTAGAAGAGAGAGAGTATTTCAAACAGAGTTTTTAGAGTGAGCACAGATAGAGAGGAGTGAAATTAGGTCTATAGATGAAGGCCATCAGGTTGGCATAAAATCATTATCTCTTGTAATTTCATTACCTAATTCATTTTTAACTCTATTTTACTAGCTTTGCAGTAGTTTTAAATAATATTCAATGATTATCTAACACAGAAGCACCTTTTTTATCACATTATTATCGGTTTTGGGAGTGGGAAGTCTTGCAAAATATTAAGTTGCTAGTATATGCAATTTTTCAGTGTTGCAGCTAAAGTGTCATAAAGAAAGGCCAAACATGTAGGCAAGGGTCAGCTTATGGAAGATGTTTTATTTTAAACAGGAGACTTTATCTTGTAGACAATAAGGCTCCACTGGAACATTTTAGCAAATGAAGCCATGGTCAGAGTTTTTTTGTGAGAGTCATCCATTGAGTAGGACAGGATGAAGAAAAATTGGTTTAGCTATTTCAATGGTTTGGGTGATAAGTAAGGGTCTGACATAGAGGGAGTAGAGATGTAAGACATGTGGTTTTAAGAAATATTTAGAAATTGGCATTGTTAGACATCAGGTATGTGAAAGGAGAGAGTAGAAACAAGAAGTGAAGGGTATTTACCAGGAGGAGAAATGCACGCTTAGGGATAAGAGAGAGTCTATCACTCTACCTACTAACCTTGGAGAAGCATTACTAAGCAAAGTTTGGTAAGCTACCTTGGAAAGGCCAGCCCTGCTCTTGAGAAAGTAGAGCAAGAAATAATGCCTGTCTTTGAAGACCATATTGTATTGCTAACACAAGGTGTTTGTTTGTTTGTTATTCTAGGATGTTTGGGGCCTAGTAAAATAATTTCTCACACTGAAAATAAGTAATTGATTCTGGAAGTCAACAGTCTAATTTTTGACACTCAGATATAGTTCAAGCCAAGATAAACTTTCCGTACAGAGGAATATTGACTGGTTTTGAAAAATAATGTAAAGTAGTAGGACATTTTGTTCAGTTTCTGAACTCTTCCTTTGCCCTAGCATGACCCCCAGTGGCATGTAAAGTTACTTATGTCCCATGAGTCCATGATGAGAAAAATCATGAAATAGGCTTCTAAAATGTGAGGTCTTTGAGGGATTTGGGGATATCTCATGCATCCTTTTTTAAAATTCTGACCCGAGGATATGCTTTTTTCATTGATTCTAGAGAGAGAGAAAGAGAGAGGGAGAGAGAGAGAGAGATTGATGTGAGGGAGAAAGATTGATCAGTCGCCTCCCGTACTCCCCCTGACCAGGGATTGAACCAGAAACCTGGGTATGTGCCCTGCCCTGAGCAGAAATCAAACCTGAGACCCTCTGATGCATGGGATAATGCTCTAACCACTGAGGAACAGGGCCAGGGCTCTTGTGTATCCCTTATACACAACATTTCACATAGTGTTTAGTACATAGCAGGGATACAAATAATAAATGATATAATTGAATGACATTAAAATAAAGCTGTTTTACTAATTTTATGTTCATAAAGTAAGCTCATCAAAATGTGTTAAAAGCATTTTAGCACAATAACTTGATGATTGAAATTATTACTTTAGTTGCTCATAAGTGGGTTAAAGCAAGAAATATAGTTTTTTCCAAATAGCACCATGGTATAAGGATAGGAGGATAAGCTCATAATTTTTTTTTTAATGTGCCAGCCTACAAGGATCTTAGGCCCTAATTATCAAGGAGTCGGCTTCTCTGGTCATCTCCCTCTCACAGTTGTCCTGAGGCTTAAAGTTGCTAAATTCTATTCTACTGGGTCACAGTTGACTTTACCCTTATTGCAGTTCCTGTCTCCTCTTCCTCTTGTGGTATTTATATATTCCTGCCTACCATGCTGGATCTTGTTTTACTACAGACTTTTTTAAAGCTCTGCAGAGTGCACACACACCTCACGGCATATTTTCTATAGAAAGGAAAAGTAACATTTATTGAGCCCTCAGTATGTACCCAAAAGTGTGCCAGATATTTCACACGCATTTATTTAGTATCTGCAATATTCCATGGGGTAATTGGTATTATTATTATTATGTTTTAATATATTTTTATTGATTTCAAAGAAGAAGGGAGAGGGAGAGAGCGCTAGAAACATCAATGATGAGAGAATCATTGCTCGACTGCCTTCTGGACGCCCCACACTGGGGATCGAGCCTGCAACCCAGGCATATGCCCTGACAGGGAATCAAACTGTGACCTGCTGGTTCATAGGCTCAACCAGTGAGCCAAGCTGGCTGGGCGCATAAGTGGTAGTATTATTATTCCTTTTATACACATGAAAACCATGCTTGAAGAAGTTAAATAACTTCTCAAGGTTTCAGGGATATAGCAAATCAACCTGGGTCTCCAGGCATCAAAAGCTGTGGCTTTCCACGGAATCTTATAGCCTAACAAATGCACATCTGAGGAACCTTCCCATCTTCTGTGTGTGAGGCTCTAAATAGAGAACCCCATGTCTTCCGATTTAATTTCCTAAAATGCCAGACTACCTATTCAGTACTTCAGTTTATTTCAATTTATCTTATTCCTAAACACTGACATTGCTATCTATTGTATTATTACATTATTTGATCTTCTCTTCAACTGGTTCTATTCAAGTCTCTCCTGGATGTATGTCCACTGTTCTTCCAGCTGCATTTTATTCTGCCCTACTGAACTCTAATTGCTCTCATGGTCTTTAAGCCCCTCTTTTCTAGATGCTGCCCTTACCTGTAGTCACTCCCCATACTCCGCCAATCTAAACTGAGTAACATAATAAGATCATTCTCCCTGCTCCTTAGCCTTCTTCCCACCTCTGCCTCCTGCCTACACACCAGGCATTCTAAAATGCATGCAGTTTCACAAAAACAACACATTATTTCATCCCACTGTGCTTTTGTTCATGCTACTATCTTTGCTTAGAGCTTTCCAATCCTACCCTATAGGAGTATACCTGTCCATCACTCAATATTCATCTCAAATGAACAATCCTTTAAAACATACGGTATAGCACTTCTAAAGGATAAAATACTGTGTTCAAGCCACTGATTGTAGGGCATATAAACGCTTTGTCAAATGTAAGATATATGTTAGTCAAAGCAGAACAGAGATCTAATAAGACGATATGGTAAAGGCCATCTGCTTTTTCAAAACAGTGGTTCTGCTTTCTACTGAGTGCCTCCTCCATGCCATAGCCAATTAGATGGAGGAGTTCTGTGGTGGTTTGTGCTTTCTCTACCCCAAAAAGGATTTGATGGTTAGGGCGTATGCTCTCAGTACTACCTCTGCCGACATAATTTCTAATAAATTGGGGAAGATTAATTTCAGGATCTTTTCTCCTTGTGTATCTCCCAGTACTCATTTCTCTCTATTTGCTTTTATTTTCATAAAAGCATCATCATGTAAAGAAAAATATGTAAAAAATAAGCCTAATTTCTTTCTCTTTAAAGAAAAATAAAATGAAAATACAGGAAGTGCCCTGGGTATCCATGTAACAGTGCCTTCGAAGGCTCAAGATGCTAATGCCAGCAGAGACCAGTGAGTTTGATGCAGGGCTACGGCTTGCTTTGAAGATCAAGCACCCAGCTAATACACTTGGTATCATTTTAGATGTGACTGGGGTTCCTCTTAGTTTTTAAATTCTGTTAAAAATCCTAGCCAAGGGTGATAAACTGATTCTAATTTAGTTTCTTCTTGAAACAGAATCTAAGCCCAGAAATGAAGCCAGCCACACCTCTGAAGTGTTGTTGAACATGGCAACTAAGCGGGGGGTTGGGAGAAGCAGCGACAGAGCTGAGACTCGAGCTGATTTTAAAAAGAACCACGGGATTTGTGTTGCATTTGCTCAGCCTCTGGGCTGTTCAGCTAAGGAAAAAAAATGCCATTAAAAATAGTCGAGGACACACAAAACACTTTAAACAACATGTGCTCTGGGATTTTTTTTATAGCCAAGCCACACACTTTAGATTCATTTCAGGTTCCACATTGAAAATAGAAAGGTCCTGAGAGTGTCTGTGCCTGCAACTTATATAAGGCATTCGTTTTTTAAACCATGTACCCAGGTTACTTCCAGTTTATCTTTAGAAGTAACTTCCTAGCAACTAGATCTATTTAAATTTCTAAGTGATTTTATGGTGCTGTCCAAAACCTTTTCTCTAATACATTCTCCAGAAATGCTTTCTCAACAAAGTAGAAATTCTAATATTGAAAATTATTTTAGGAAACAGACATGGCATGTTCTGGATTGCTTTTAAAATGGATATCTCTCTGGGAGGGATAATAGTAATCCTGTAACACTTTAGAATGATTTTATCAGAGCTTAGAAAGCAATGACTTGCCAAAAGGTGCCAAAGGACTACGAGAGGGGGCAGGTGAGGTTTGGTCTGTGAGGTGAGGGAAAGAAGATTGACGAGCTAAAGGGCGATATAGTACCACAGGCGTTTCATAGGCGGAGCGGGAGAAAGCAGGCGTACCACAGAGGAGTCGGCATTGTGGGGATTCCTGTGAATATTTTCGTCGTCATAAATACCAGAAAGAGATAGAATGAAAAATGAAACAACAGTTCAAACAAATCACTTGTGACTCATTATGAAAAATTGTTTCTGTTACGTAACCCTTTAGGCTTTCGGTTTTCCCAATCTGTAAAACCAGAACATTGGGCTGCTGTCTTAGATAATGTTTAAAAGACCTTTTGGGTTAAATATGTAGTTATGAAACAATAATAATAAAAAAATATTTATATATAATAAATAATTTATATATATTGATTTATATAATATATTAATTTATACAATAAATCATTATATAAGTAAAGAATATAGCATGTATTTAATTTAAAATGTACTTCAATAATCTAGTCCAATGTATACCTATTAAATACATATATATTTACATATATACATGTATATATATGTACATATATACATATATACATATATATAAATTTATCCCTTTATGTCTCTTTAAAAAGCTTTAAGCAAAAGCCCAGTAAGTGAATACTGAATTGGGAACCAGGAGTACCTCGATCCATTCCCAGATCTAATAACTTGTTGAGTGATAACAGAAAAGTCATTTACCAGCTCTTGCCCTTTAGTGTTCTCCTCAGGAAAAGAAAGAATTAGACTCAAGGACCCTTAAAGTCCCTTTCATTTCTGAGCTATCATGGGTAGATTTATCATCTCATACTTTCTGTGGTAAGAATTCGAGGTGCAGCTTAGCTTGGCTCCCCCTTCAGGGTCTTTTCGGGCTGCAGTCTGGGTGTCATCTGGGGTTAGAGCAGGGGTGGGCAAACTTTTTGACTCGAGGGCCACAATGGGTTCTTAAACTGGACCAGAGGGCCGGAACAAAAGCATGGATGGAGTGTTTGTGTGAACGAATATAAATTCAAAGTAAACATCATTACATAAAAGGGTACGGTCTTTTTTTTTTTTTTTTTTAGTTTTATTCATTTCAAACAGGCTGGATCCGGCCCGCGGGCCGTAGTTTGCCCACGGCTGGGTTAGAGTCTCATCAGAGGTTCAGCTGGGAAAAGATATACTTCCAGCCTCCCTTCAGTTGCTCTCATTGTCAGGATTTATTCCCTTTTGGTACAGAACTAAAGGTCATGGTCCTTTTTTTGTTGTTCTTTTTTTCTTCCCTTTTTAAAATTGAATTTATTTGGGTGACATCCTTTATAATAAAAGACTAATAATCAAATTGTCCCCTTGACTGGGAGTTTGACCAGGGGACGGAGCTGGCCGGCCAACTGCCTGTGGCCCCTACCCCCAGCCGGCCTGGCCTGATCTGCCCCAATTGGGGCGGGCTGGCCAGACCCCACCCATGCATGAATTCATGCACTGGGCCTCTAGTTGGTTAATAAAATTATGTAGGTTTCAGGTGTACAAGGCTATAATACCTCATCTGTACATTGTGCTCTCTCCCTCTGGTAATTAGCATAATGTTGTCTGTGACTGTGAGGTTTTTTGGGTTGTTTTTTTTGTTTGTTTTGTTGTTGGCGGTTGACTAGACTGCTCTCTGATCCTAGAATCTACCCCAAGTTCCCTGTCATGAGACCTCCTCAGCCCTCTCACACATGGTGACTTACTTTCTCAAGCCCAGCAATAGACAGATACTCTCTGACTTCAGGGAGTTTTCAGTCCCATTTTTGAGAGCTATCAATGATTGTTATGCCCACCCAAGATAACCTCCCTTTTGATGTATTCATAATCAACTGATTTACGACCTAAAGACATCTGCAAATTACTTAGCCTTTGCCATAATCTCTTGGTTAGGAGCAAGCCCAGTTCCTGTCCATCCTCAAGGGAGGGACTAAGACAAAGGGGCAAACACAAGGAGCTGGGAAATGGGTTTATTGGGGGTGCCTTAGGGTTTACCTGCCATAGAAGTAGCTCCTTTTCACTTGTCAGATGAGCATTCATTATTGATCTATTAACAAACAGCTCTGTTGTTTTTTAGGGGAAAATAATTGTAATTGTCTTATTCCATACTAGAGTCCCAGTGCACAAAATTTGTGCACTTGGGGGTTGTCCCTCAGCCCAGCCTGCACCCTCTCCAATCTGTGACCCCTCGGGGGATGTCCCTCTGTCAGTTTAGGCCCGATCCCTGTGGGCTTGGGCCTAAACCGGCAGTCAGACATCCCTCTCACAATCCGGGACTGCTGGCTCCCAACCACTTGCCTGCCTGCCTGCCTGATTGCCCCTAACCACTCTGCCTGCCAGCCTGATCACCCCCTAGCCACTCTCCTCCCAGCCTGATCAATGCCTAGCTGCTTCCTGATGGCCCAATTACCCCTAACTGCCCTCCCCTGCAGGCCTGGTCATCCCCAACTGCCCTCCCCTGCAAGCCCGGTCACCCCTAAATGCCCTCCCCTGCTGGCCATCGTGTGGTGGCCATCTTTGACCACATGGGGGTGGCCATCTTGTGCAAGGGCATGGCGGTCAATTTGAATATTACCTCTTTATTATATAGGATGACAATTTTATGTGAGCCTCAGCAGGAAAATGGCAGGTGACCTTTGCTTTCTCCTCCAGTTCAAAAGGTATTAGAAGTAAATTAAGTACATGACTGAAGTAACTGGTGTCCTTTAAATATCATACCTTTTACCCAGCCTTGGTGGCTCAATGGTTGAGAGTTGACCTGTGAACCAGGTCATGGTTCCATTTGCAGTCAGAGTACATACCTGGGTTGTGGGCTCAATCCCCAGTGGGGGACGTGTAGGAGGCAACTGATCGTTGATGTTCCTGTCATCATTGATGTTTCTGTCTCTCTCCCTCTCCATTCCTCTCTGAAATCAATTTTTAAAAAATAAAATAAATAGCACACCTTTTTTGTTCATATTATGTTTCATTTTATATAAAAATTTTATCTATCAAAGTCTTTTATAAGTACATACATGTGAGTACCATCAATAATTTTTCCATATAAGTACAAAATAAATAACAATATTTTATCATGACTTAATATTTAAATATATATAGAACCAGTGTGTATCTAAGTATAGTCTGTGTATGATTAGGTAGCTTCCTGTGTGCCAGACACAGTGTTAATTACTTTGTGTATTAGCACAGCAAATGCACACAATAACCATTTCAGCCAAGTAATGCTGAAATTTAAAGGCAAGGAAATTCATGTTTAGGTGAGTTAAGTAACTTGCCCATGGTCATACTGAGTCAAGATATGGATATACTCTGGATTCAAGTTCAGGACTATCTGATTCTAGCTCACATCTACATTCTTCATTATTATACTA